TAACTTTTCGTGACATACTATGAATTTACTCGAACGAAACTTTTCTCTTGTTCTTTTCTGTTCAAGTCACTTGAACCTTTCCATAAGGTTCATCACGTTTAATTTTGTTCTGTTATATAGAAAATTATTATACATTCAGATTTATTACAAATTTGAAGAAAAATATTTTCTCTATCATTTTGATATGGACAGAACGCTGTAAAGTGTTTTTCTGCATTGCTTGAGGCGTATAACAAGAACGATCAGTGGTTTCGACTCATTTATGCTAGAAGATTGATCTCTGAAACCTTCCAATCGTTTCTGAGTGTCGTCTTTTAAGCTCTTTCAAAAAGGGTACACTTGAAAACACAGGAAGCTTGCTGTAGAATAGGGTTTCGTATCTGTTTTGCTAGAAGAAATGAAGTCCTTAATTTGTTAAAAATGTGGATTTGAAAGTTGGCCTTTTTGAAGCATTGTAGTGTTGACTGGATATAACTCCATAGCTATGCGTTGGAAGAACTCTTCTCATAAGGCTTTTGTAGAAAATTGCATGGGCTATCTTTTGAAAAAAAACTCAAGTATATGCATTACAATTTGAGAGAGATACTTGCAAAATACTGAGAGGTCCATTTAATTTGGGACACTCGTTAGATTGACCGATTTATTTGAAAATTTTTTCTCAGTTACTCATAGATCCATGAATGTTTGTCAAAATTGTCAGAATTATAGCATGCACTAAGCTTACAATATGATGATACAATGGTGAGTGTCACTTATGGTTATGAGTGGAATGGAAATGAGTACCCATATTTACACATTACAATTAATATAGATGTGATTCTATACAAAATATACAAATACAATGTATCTATTGTAAATCATGGAGCTTTTGAACTAATGTATTAGAGAAGGAACCAGAAACATCAAAATATGATTTTATCATTGGAAACTATTTTGACATAATAATGTCAATCATCAAAATTATCGAAAAATGCACGTTTATCTGTTATTCTTTTAAAAAGAACTTTGTCAATTGAGCATTATTATCATCAAATTTGTTAACATATTTTTTGAACTAAACTAAGGAAGTATTTTCAAGCCATACATCTGCTTCCAAGTCAGGTAGATTGCTTGAATCGCGCATTAAAGGATGGTTTATGAAGATTGGTCAAAGTCACTTATTGCTAAATGAGATGTAATAAAAATAATCATAATTTGACTGTAACGCTTGAATTCTTCCAAATAAAATACTTCTATACATAGTGGCTCGAATAAGATACTTCTTCTCTCATGCAAAAAGAAGTAATCTAGATCATTGCTTCCATTTGTTAATTTGCCATGGAACAAACAAATCACGAAAAATTCATTGCAGAACAATAAATATTCATGTCGTCAATTTTTCATCAAAACCGATGGTCCGAAGGGTTCACTCCTTTCTTTTATCGAGTTTTTTTTAATAATTTTTCTACTCAATTGGTATTTTCTGTCTTGAAGAGATCGATTATTATTCAAAAAAGTCGAATTTAATATGTGACAGTATATTGTGTTAGATGACACCACATTTTTTTCAATTTGCTAAGTCTTCTAACTATGATTATTTTTGTGCTATCATCTTTAATAAATAATCAAACTCGAAAACTAAGCGAAAACAGTCGACTTAGTTGGCATAGGTGGCATGAGCACCCTTACGTATATTAGTAGTCGCAACTTCGACTAAAATCTGGTATTTTTCTAAGAGTTTAGAAATATTCATTCAGTGAAATATCAAAAAGCACCAGTAAAAGAACTGCAGTTAATTGGTGATTTTCGGACACTCCATACTACATGGGTACTACTGTATCAACGGTCTCGAACAACATCAGATGGTGATATGAACTGCAAATGGTATATATAGATCAATCAAGGCGTTTTGTTAATAGTGATGAACTGTGTGCTTTCGATTTCCAATTGAGATCAATATTGCAAGAAAAAAAGCGACTATCCAGCGAGAATTTACGACGAAAGTATCGGCAGGGTTCAATTTCGTTTTGACTCATCTATACTTCATTCGATAAAGTATATTGAAAAAAGAAAAAGCTTAAAGGATTTTAGCCAATGGCTTATATTGGCCAAGAGTTACGGCTATTTCACTGGAATTTTTACTGAAAAACAGCCATTGCAAAAAAAAAGAAAAAATAAAGAGTTTAGACCGAAAATTTTGCCTATCGATTAATTTAATAGTCCTTAGATAGTTCTGAAAGTGCCAACAAAAGTTAATATGTTTTTTTTGAGGTATTCAATTTCCAAAAGAAAATTGCCGTTTACCGTAGGAGAACATAATAATTCACTCTACTTGCAAATCAATTATCTTGAGAAAGGCGTGCTCAATTTCATTGAACCCAAGGGGGAAATAGCAGAGACTTCAGCCGTGAAGTCTCATGAAGTCTTCAAAGTCTTCTGAAGTCTCTTGAAGTCTAATGAAGTCTCTTGAACTCTCTTGAAGTCTAATGAAGTCTCATGAATTCTTTTGAAAGTTTTGAGATACATTTAGTGCATGAAAATTCATAAGAAACCAATGAAATTGTCTTGTTTTCGACGGTCTTATTTTAGCAGAAAGATGAACCTTTTATTGTTTTTTTTTCAATGTGCTGGAAAAAAATTCAAGTTTGTTCGATCTTAGAAAACATGATAGTTAATAACTGAATGCTTTTTGAATGAAGTGATTTATTTTTATAAGAAATGTGTCCATCTATTCGATGTCAATCTTATGAAGAATTTTATTCCTTTTTGTTTGTTTCTATCACTCACGATAATCTATCAGCCGATAAACGGCTAGCTTTATCGGTCAATAACCAACAAGCCGTTTGCTTGTGTATAAATTTAGTCTTGTTATCTATTTGCAACTGAAAATAGGAGTTTTTCAATGCTGGATTAATCGAATCAAATATACGCGTACCAGTAAAGTTTATTTTCTCTGTTTTAATTTCATCAACGCTTTGTGTCATTGCCATATCTTTATTCTAGATATGGATATACTGCGCGAAACAACTCTCAGAAACTAGAAACACCTTTGTAATCTCTATATGATAAGTTTTGTTTTTTGCATGTTATAGAAGTTTCATGTAATTTCTATAAGGTTTTTTGATACGCATGGAATCTGCCTCTTGAAGTCTTGTGAAGTCCTATGAAATTTTATGAAGTCTAGCGAAGTCGTGTGAAGTTTTATGCAGTCTTGTGAAGTCTTATGAAGTTTTGCGAAGTCTGGCGGAGTCTTGTGAAGTTTTATGAAGTCTTGTAAAGTCTAATGAAATCTTCTAAAGTCTCAAGAAGTCCTACAAAGTCTGTGAAGTCTCACAAAATCCGTGAAGTCTCAAGAAGTCCGTGAAGTCTCACGAAGTCTTTTGAAGTCCTCTGAAGTCCCATGAAATCCTATGAAGTCTTGTGAAGTCCCTTGAAGTCCTATGAAGTCTTATGAAGTCTTTAGAAGTCTTTTGAATTCTTGTGAAAATATGAAGTCACTATGGTTGAAGTCCGTTGAAGTCTTGAAGTCCGCTATTTCCCCCTTGATTGAACCTTTCAGGACTATCCAATGAACATTAAAACCTATCTATAGACAAACATTATACATCAAAGGTCTTCATTTTGATTTTTTTCGGAATATCGGACTCTCAGTAAAATGATAACTCATAACCAGTACATCATCGGGTCGAATCCTTTGAGGCTTTTTCTTATCTCAATATATGCTATCTGGTGAGATATGAATGAGTCAAAAAGATGCTGGACACCTCAAATAGTTCCCTTGTTACTGATATCATTATATTCAAGAAGTGATGCAATAGCCTTGAAACAGAATTCATGGAGTGAGTGCGAACATGTCAGTGTAAGGATGTAGGTTAAGAAAATGTTCACACTCACACACACCCTGATTCTGCAAAAGAGCATTTTCAAACAAAAATGATGTGTGCAATCAGGACCAAAAAGGATATTTACACGTTTCTAAACGACTTTCTCTAATCAATCATAACATATTACATTCATTGATTTAACAAATCAACCCATAAGACTTTTAAAATAACTTAAATTTTGTGCACATGCATCCCCGATACAGGTTTATTTCAAGTTGGATAGCAGATCTAGAAAGAATGTAGTTCCACAAATCTTTCTGCATCACATTTATGAAATGATTTAATTAAAGCTTCTTTTATGTAAATCGAAGCTATTGTCAAAGATTAGTTCAATATTGTGATATTAACTAATTACACAATTGTTAGCCATATTTACAGAAGTAACAATGAAAACCAATTTTATTACTCTATTGAAATGAATAAAATTTCTCCTCATATTAAATTTCATATCTAGCAATTATAATTTCAATATTCTTATTTTTTATTCAAGCACTTACTTATTAAAGAATCATAGTAATCAAGATTTGTATCATTATACTTTTGCACTTTGTTTTAATCTATTTAACATGGTGAATAATTTGAATGCATTATCAGATAGCAAAACACGTGAAGAGAACAGTTATTTTAAACTTGTAACACGTGTCCAATCACATTTTTTTCCAATTGACCTCAAGTTTACTCAAGATAATCAATAGTACTGTTTTATATGGGATGAAAAAGTAAAATAGATTTTTTTTTATTACTTATCGATAGAAATGACGATTTTATATTTTCATGATAATATAAATTTTTTCAATAGCATATTATAAAAAAAAATACATCTCATTTTAGTAAATAATTTTTATTCTTTTTGTATGTTTTTTTGTACTCGGAGTGAAAAAAACTTCTTTTCTTCTTTCATATAACAACTTATGTGTAATTTCATTTTTCTTTATTTATTATACTTTTTGTTAAAGCTTGTATTTCAATAAAAAATGAACAACAGAAAAAAAAATCCTATATACGAGAGTCTTCAGTATACAGGTGATGAAAAATAACATAGATAAAAAAAAGCATTACTAGACCACAGAGAAAGAGGAAAGAAAAAGAAAGTGTCAAAGAGTTCGTTCGTCGTTGTTATCGCATTATAAATCAAACTTAAATACGATCGATATGATTTCTAAAATCATTTGAAGTTGTGACATATTCAACAAATTTTTCTTGTGGAACACTAAAATGAAGCATAAAAATAAATAAAAAAATAAAATAAAATAAAACAAACCGGCCACTGCCATCATCGAGTTTACTCCAATGTTGTTCCCAAGTAGAGGTAACTGGTTTTGTTTGAGTAGTTGTTACAGTTGTTGTTAATGGTGTATTTGTTGCATCATCCCAACTGAAATTGAAAAGAAAATTTCTAATTCTAATTTCATATAGAAAGACAAATGCTTACTCATAATATCGATTAAGACGATTAAATACTTGTTCACCTTGGTCTCGTGAAATATAACCTCAAAAAATTAAAAATAAATAAATAAGAAAAAATGAATTAAAATTTATTCTTTACCTGGTGTTGGATTGTTTTGATCTAAAACATAGTTTAATCGATCACGAGCTGTTACAGCTGTCTTTCCCTGTGGATTTCGACTTAATAATAAATATGCATTGACAAATTCTATTGTATATAAACTAAAAATTTATTTTTAATCCTAAAAAAAAACAAAATTACCTTCAAAAGACAATTTGCCTAAAAAAAAACAACCGATAACAAATAAGATTTGATAAAAGAAAACAAATTACAATAATACCTGATCCTTCAGCATCAAAAGCCTTAAAAACTCGATCGGAAAGTTTATCCATATCGTGATCACTAAGAACTGCTGGAACAGTTGGAACAGTTGGACCAGTTTGTGCACTTAGATATAATTGTTTATATAAACGACGAAATTCTTTCTTGTCCATTTGATTACTTTTTCCTGTTGAAGCAACAAATTCTTGATAAAGTTTTTCAACTGTAGCTCGAGGAATACCTAAAAATGATCTAATTTAACAAAGAAATATTATTCAATAAAAAACATTCATACCAGTAATATTACTGAATCGATCTAAATCCCATTGCGTAAATGTATTTTTTGAATGACTTTTACCCATTTTGATGCGAGAAATATAAATTGAAATGAAAACTTTTTTGTAATGTTGAGAATACTGTTAGAATAATGAAATGAATACAACACACTCCTTTTATATATGGGGACATATAGGTCGATATTGTCGTTCTCTCATTTTTCTTCAGAACGAGATTAGTCACGTTTTGACTGTAAGAGAGAATAATAAAAAGATAAAAGAAAGAAAGAAGCCTGAGAAAAAATGAAAATATCGCCATGATTAAATTTCAAACCACTTTCTCTCGATTTCTATTTCTGTCATCATAGGTGAACTAAGTTACATTAAGAAAGATATTTATTCTTGTTGACCTCGGTATCTTGATCGAAACTCAAGCGATATTTTATCATCGGTGGTAAAGAGTAGAATGAAGTATAAAGAAATGAATCAATATTTACATTGTTATGTACTTCGAATGATGAATAAAAAAAAAAGACAAAACTACTAACGAAATAAATGAAATCCTTTTTTTTTAAATATAAAAAATATCAAACTTGATTTATGGATATACTTAAGTTTTTTTTTTTTGAACAATACTATTTTAATATAATATAAATAATCTTGTGTGAATCAAAAAACGATGCTTTAGTCTTTACTCAGCGTTGATAGAAGACAATATAATTAAATAAATTTTAAAGATATACATTTAAATAAAGAACACAAATATTAATTGATATTCTCGTATAATTCATATCCATTTCTCTGCCTATAGAATATACTTAAAGTACATTTAATAAGTCATTCATAAGAAAATAGTTTCATGATTGACAATAATTTTGATTTAATTTTATTGCGAAACTTTAATAAATTTTATTCGTTCACGCATAAAAATTTCATATTCAATATCTTGTATCTAGACGGTATTCCAAAAGTCCGAACAAAAAAAGAAAACGTGAATAATTCCTCAACAATACAAGGAATTTAAATATTCTTTTTAAAGTTCTATTCAATACATTTCAAATTCGAATAAACCAGCATTGTAAAACAGTAATTAGAAATTGGATTTGGAGAAAAACACGCCTACTAAACATTGCATTAGCAATACATTTCAGCGATTTTATGAAACCAGTACTGTTGAAAATCGCTGATTGTAAAGTAATGATTGAAGAAAAAGTCGATAAAGTTAATGACACTTCTAAAAATAAGCCATGGCTCGATTTATGTAACTCTTCTTCTTTGTAGAACTGTTGAACAAATTGTATCTTGTATAATTTTAATAAGAGATGTTCCGTCATGATCCAGTATGTTATTGTTTGTAGTAATCAGCATACTTGTACAATAGACCGAATATTTGATTCTGGCTCATTTTCATAAGCATTCTTAACTTCATTGACTTTTTTCTCCAGTCATTGCTGTAGGTCTTCTAGAATGTGATCGATTTTCAATAGTAACAATTTTACAAAATCACTAAAATGTGATTCTAATACAGGATTCAGTTAGCGTGTTTTTGTCGAATTCAACTTGCAGTTTTTGTTGAACAATGGTAGCTAACTTGAATTTAGCTATTAGTAAAACTATTTTAATTATGCCTTTCTAAACACAGTCATTTTATCTGAAAACTTTAATGAATATATCATCAAATTGTAAAAAAAAATTTTAATCTCTTCAATTGCTGAGGAACTATTCACGATTTTTTTTTCGTTCGGATTTTTGAAACACTCTATATGTACTATTACCATTCTTTATATGATAGAAAAAAAAAACATCGAATACTCTTTCATGAGCCATTACGAAAGAAAATGTCGATGTTAAATATTCTTTTCATTTTAGTTTATTTATTTCATCTTTCAAAATGATTGTGCAAAGAAATTTTATATTATTTTGAACGTGACTTTAATATAAAAGAAAATAATGTAGTATAATAACTAATCTTTTGTTTTTGATCACGTTCAAGTCAACACTTATTTTATAATTCGAATTTCACGTCACACCATTTCAGTATATTTGTTTTTTTTCTTTTGTTCTCTTTTTTTTTTGTACTTGTACTGGTGAGACAGATGGTACCAATCTATTTTCTTGTCTGTCATCAATAAGAAAAATTCTGTTACAAGCTTATACATACATAGAGTTTTGTCTAATGTATGTATCAAGAGTAAGATTAATTAATCAATATGAATATTAAATTAATTTTTAAAGATTATGATCTTTTTTTTTTTATTTAATCGTCTATTTCAGATTAAAAATATGTGGTTTATTTTATTATTTATAATCGATTTTATCGTTGCAAAACCGATTTATTATGATAGTGCACTTGGTTATAAATGTGAAAGAAATGAACATTGCGGTGGTCTTGTACCAAATTCAATGTGTTTTAATAATAAATGTATATGTCAAGTTGGATATAAATCTGATGGCATTTTTCGATGTGTATCTGAAATACGTCATCGTCGACAAATTAATTTTGGTAAAAGAAACTTAAGTTTGTTTGTTTTTCTTCTTTTTATTTTATTTCGAATTGTTTTTTTTTCGTGAGAATTTAGGAGTTCAAATGTTAGGTGAAGAATGTGAATCAAATGATGAATGTCGTCGAACACCAGTTGATGGAACAAAAGTATGTTTATTAAATCGATGTCAATGTTCATCTGGTCATGTACCAATTGATGCTTATCGATGTATTCGAGATTTTGGTTAGTCTTTTTATTTCTATTTTTGAATTTTTCTGTAGTAAAAAAGTATTTATTGAATATAGAACAATTATCATCAAATACACGAGTAATAAAAACATCTGAAATAGAAGAACCTCCTGGTTATGGTTCAAGTTGTTTGACAAATAAGAATTGTCAACATTCAACTGTTCAACTTGAATGTTTTCGTGGAACATGTGTTTGTTTAGAAGGTTATGTTCCATTGGGAAAATATTTATGTTATAATATTCGTGGACAAGGTAAAGAATTTTTTAAATGATATTACAATAGTTTTTTGACTAAATTATGTATTAAGGTGCACCAATCATGGAAAGTTCAACTCTCACTTCTACGCTTTCTACAATAACATCAACATTCAATCTACCAAATAATGAAATTGTTAAATCTATAGGTAAATTAGGTAATACATGTACAAATGATTATTATTGTCGACGATCAGTATCTCAATCACATTGTTATAATGGAAAATGTTCATGTATTAATGGTTATATATCAGTGGATTCTTATACTTGTATTGAAGGTAATTAATTATTTATAAATATATCTATATCTATATCTATATACATATTCAAAATTAGATACAAATGCAGATTTAACAGTAAACTCTGTTGGTTATAAAAGTCTATTAGGTGGAAAATGTAAAACAAATCAGAATTGTCATACATCAGATGCAAGATGTTTAAATAGTATTTGTATTTGTCCAAAAGGTTATTTTCCTATTGATAGTTGGAATTGTTTAAAAGATTCAGGTATGAAATTAAACTATTAGTCTAATCTAATTAAATGTATTATTAGATGTATCTAATGAAGAATTAATTCAAACGACAACAAAAGCTTCCACGACCACGACAAGAGCAACAACAATAACAACAACAACAACAACAACAACAACTGGTTTTCTTTGGTGGCCATGGTCACCATCATCAACAACACAACAATCATTAATTAATTTAAAAAATACATTTCCTTTTCGTTGTTTACTTAATCGACAATGTATTAGTATGGATAGAAATTCTCATTGTGCATCATTTGGACGATGTGTATGTAATATTGGTTTTAAATTAGAAATGACTAGTACAGGACAACAATGTGTTCGAAAAATAATCAATAACGATGACTGTGACTAGAAAAAAAACCAAATGAATCTTTTCTTTTTTGTTTTTTTATGTTCCGGTGTATTGCTGTTGTTGTTTTTTTAATGTATATGTTGATATTCGAGTTCATTATTAATTTGTAGTAACAAACAACAAGGACAATATATAACAACTAAATAATCTTTAAAAAAAATAGAACTCTTTCAAAAATAAGAAAAATAATTAAATGGTATTTTATATTAAATTTGTTTACTTATAAATCAAATTCTATACCAATTTTTATATAAAATGAAATTAAAGGACTAGGCTAACAATAATATGCACAAAAATCTGTATGATGAAAAAGAAACCTTTCGTTTCAAAATAAATATTTCATATTCAAGAACATATATAAACTAATATCATTACAACATCTACATATATCGCGTTGCAATTGTAGTTCATAATTCTAGAAAATTTTTTCGAGCTTTTCTTAATGCTTAGTGTTCATAACTAGAATTAAATAGATAATTGATATCAACCGATAAGATAAACACTTGTGAAGCCTATGATGAGGCCAGCTTTAAGCATTATTCAAACGAACTTAAGCTAGGAAAAGTCTGTGATACCAACAAAAACTAGCCTATACGTCAATCTACTGTTGTATGTCTCGATCAGCGTATTGGTAGTCCAACTTCACCATTACATTTCTAATTTTTAACAGTCAAAAAGAAAAAAAAAAACTTGTTTTTTGTTTTAATGATAAGAATTTTAAAAAATTCCATGTTTCAAAATAGGAGCACTTTGTGCAAAAAGTAAACGCTAATTCACACAACATACAATCAGTTTGTGTCAATAGTGACGAGAGTTTGTATACATACCATTGTGATTTGCATAGATGAATAAATTTTTATGGTATTATTTAGAAATGTTATCCACAAAAAAGATATTGACAATGAAATTTTTCAAGAATTATATCTTTCTTGAATTAGAAAGAAAAGTTTTTTGTTGAGGAAGTAATTTGAGAAACAATATTTTGGTTAAGTAAAATATAGGTAGCTTACAAAAACAGAAAACTATAGAAGAGTAAATCTTCAATGGGAAAAATTCTTCTACTTCTAATATCAGGTAGTTCTAATAAATGGAAAATGGTATGTCTCATACTCGTAATGATTGAAATATTAGTTGTGTTTTTTTCTAATTGCTTCAAGAAGATTCAACAGATTTTATAATTCTAATAGTAATCAAGATAAAAATATAGATGTGTAAT